CTCCTCCCCCGTGATGCTGATCCCACCACCCTGTTGTATTTTCCTGAATAGCGTGAGTCTCTGAGATGGTTACTTCGATTTGCTTCCTGGTTGAGGTTTGTCCCCTGCCTAGACTATTAGGGCAGGCCCTCTCTGTCTCAGCCGCTTCCACAGTTGGTGTTCATTAAGATTCAGCTGTGTTCTGTGTGCACAGCCCTACTAACAAACTCATGAGATGGTTATGTTTATCGTGCCCAGATTTGTGAGATGTGTGAAGAAAGGTGTTTGAATGGAACTGAATCAAAGGAGGGAAGGGGCTGCTTAGAAATGGTGCTCTGAAGGGCCCGGAGGTGAAGGCGTGTAGTCAGGAGTTGTGCAATCTAAGCTATGGGAACTATGCATGGGAAACACCCTGGGGTGGAAGAACTGGCCTGCTTATTGAGCTGGGGCAGGAGGGAGGTTCGGCTGAAAGTTTGGACAGTTCTTGGCTTGGAGTCTAGAGGGCTCTTTGGAAAGTGATCCTGCCCAGCTGGCCCTGAGAGCCGGGTCAGGGGCCAGCATCCTGCCGGACAGCTGTGAAGATGGTACTGTGGGAAGCATTAAGATTGCTCGGGAAGCACTGGGAACATGAAAGATACGCTACCTATTCTTCAGTCCCCAGAGAATCACCACCCAGTGTTAGACTTGGCAAAAGGTTTTCTGCTCCTTCTCTGAGCTGCCTCCTTAGAGAATATGCCCTGTCTGAATTCCAAATGCCGCCCAGCCGAGGCAGATTGCTCCCCGAGCCTCTCCCATAGACCCTAGGAAAGCAGCATGCAGGGGGCAGAAGGTGAGAGGCCTGTGTACTGTGCTCCCCTTAGTGGGGTCCCAGCAGAACCTACCTGTCCCAAGGCAGCATATCTGGGCTGTTTTCCTGTTGTGAAACATTCGGGAATGTTTGTGTTCCTTCAGAGATTTGTGATTAAGAGGCAGACCTAGTTCTTGCTTGGTGCCTTTCCTTCCCTCCCTCCCTCCCTCCCTCTCGCCGCTCCAGCATTTGGTCATTTGATTTCATGGTTGGGGTTTTTCAGCATCCCAGGACTTGGAGGCTGGAGGCTGGACTGGGGTGAATCGCTTCATTGGAGAGTGGGGGCTGGGATTTCAGGCAGGGCCTCAAGTCCTGGCCACATCTGAAAGCGGACATCTCTTCCCAGATCACATTCTTGGCACTTGCCTGAGGGGAAACAGTGCAGGCCAGAGAAGCACCCACAGTTTCCCGGGGGGACTGGTTCAGACAGTTCCTCTCTCTGGCAGGAAGAGTGAATGTGTGCACATGTGTATACGTGTGTGTGTTTAATCCTCATGCAGCTAAAAACACTTCTCTTCATCCTGATTCTCTGAATGACACATCCCTGCACACTGAATAATTCATCTCCCTCTTGGCATTTGTTCCAGAGAGAATCTTGCTGTCCAGATTTCTTGTAACTTGCATAGTTCTCCAATATATTTTCTCTTTCCCACGGAAGAGCTCTGGGAGTCAGGATATCAGCCCTCTGGCTTTCCCCCGATGAGCGCATCGAAGGGAAACCTGAATATCAGACCAAAGACTTCCTCTCTCCTGTGCCATCTTCCTCTGACTTTGGGCCTCGCAGCTCACTCTTCTTTTCTCTGTTGGGCACAATGTCTGTATTGGCTACACGTGGGAATCAGCATCTCAGCCCCCCGCCTCCTGCCTCTCACAGGGTGTCTACATGCCCTTCACCTCACTGAGGCTTGGCACTTAACATTTTTTCAGACACTTCACAGTGTCTAAGGCTGAACAACCAATGGAGTTAATGGTTTCTGGAAAAGTGATGATTTTTGGTGTTTCAGTCCTGTCTCCACACTAAGCCCCATCCTCACACATAGAGAACTCAGTGCATCACTTGTATCGATGACTTGAAAATATTTGCTCATCCTTTCATTAAAAAGCGAGCGGCCGTGGCTTATCCAAGTATGTTGAATATCTTTGTACCAAGACACAGATAACCGAAGGTGCAAACATGCTAAAGCACCAGTGCCTTTTGCTTGCTTCAGACATCCCCTCTGCTCCAGATTCATCATCTTTATCTCTGACATAGCTTATGCTGCATTCCAGGTTGTTCTGAGACTCACTTGGTCTTATTAAATTTGATTAGCAAAGCTCAGGTTTTGGAATCAGGCAGTGGGGCTTCAGGTTATGCCTCTGGGGTTTACTACCTATGTGATTTTGAGCATGTTTCTCATTTGTAACATGCAGTTAGAGCCCCTATTACCCAGAGAGGGAACATAAGCTGCATAACTTGCATCTAGGCCTACATTTAGCTGTTATTAAGTATTTTAATTATGTTGATATATGAACACGACAGAGAAATTAGCAAAGAGAAAGAAAAAAATTTGGAATTACATTAAAATCCCTCTGCTGGATATCATTTTAATGTATATCTTTCCAGTTTCTCTTGTATACATACACACACACACACAAACACACATTTTAGGCAAAATGTCATACTACAACAGTGTCTGTGGATTTTCTCTTTTCAAAATGTTTTTCTCAGTATATTGAGAGCATCCGTCCATGTTAGAGTATGGAATGCTACATTATTTTTTGTTCTATATATTCATTATTGTATTCACCTAGTCCACAAGGATTAGTTGATTGTATTCACCTAGTCCACAAGGATTAGTTGAGCACCAATTGTAGGGGACATAGGATTCTTTTGCTTACATGCACCATTAATGAAATCATTTAATTAATCTCCAGGGAGGAATTTTGAAAGGTGATGATGCATGCACAGATCCATGGGCACTGTCAGGAAGGGATGTGTCTTCTTGGTGTTCTGGGTTGTAAACTGTATATATAATAAGATTTATGTCTCTGCACCCGGGCTGGCAGGCAGAGCTTTCAGGGCAGAGGGCAGGGAGAGGAATGAGCCAGGAAGGGAGGTCACAGATTTATCTTTCCTCAGTAACAGAGTAACCTGGCCTGTGTGCAGTTTTTCCAAAGAGATCCTTTCAAAGATTTCTTGGGTAAAATGTTGAATAAGATTTGGCTCTTGGTCACTGGTCTTCATTCTCTATAAGGAGAAGGGAATAAGCCACTTAGAGAAGTGTTTGGGTGGGGAGGCCCCACAGGGTGTGTCATTTGGTTTCTGAAGTCTAGGCAGTACATCAAGTGGAGATGCGGTGGACTGGGGACAACTTTGCAGAAACTTCATCCAGACTGAAGAGTACTCTTAGCTGAGGAGAGTTCCCAGCACCTGTGTGTCATCTCCACTTTTTCCTCCCTTTTACTCCAAGGCAGTGGCTTATGATTTCCCTGGGGCTCAGGAGATGCATTGAAGAAGTAAGTCAACTTTCAAGAGAACCCTTTAGCCCAGAGCAAGGGTTCTGGAGACATTTCCTTGCTTGTAATCCCAGCTTTGTCACCGACATTGGGAATGTTACTTAGTCTTTGAGGGTTACTGCCTTGGGTTTCCCCTCCGGAGAAACCAAGCTAATAATAACTCATTTTTTGAGCATCGTTTGAAAAATAATTTGTGCTAAATGCTCTTACAAACATGGCCTTATTTAAGCCACGCGACAACCTGGAGAGTGGTGATTATTATCTCCACTTTTCAGATAAAAATGCTGAGGCTCAGAAAGGTTAAGTAAGTTGTCAGACTCACACAGCCAATAAAGGGGTACTTACTGAATCCTTATTTGAGGTTTAGTCTGTTGCATATCATCTGTGCCACTGGCTTCATCCTCATCGTCTCCCACAAAACAACAGAAAATTACTAATAGAAGTGTTTGGATTATCCTTTCATTTAGGCAATAGATATTTTGCACAACCCACCTGACTCTGGGGTACATGAACACACCAGGTCCTGTCCACTGGGGGTTCTTTCAGTGTTTCTGTTTTCCCCATCTATTTTGCTCTAAGTTTGATTTGGAATGGGTTTAAGAGGGAAGGAGATTGCACAGGATAAGAGAGGGGATAGTTTCCTGTGGCTTGGAGGGAAGCTCTTGGTCTGGAACCTGAGGCCCCATACCCGTTATCTTTCTCCCTGTCCTACTGTACCTCAGCTTGCCAATCTGTCAAGAGAGTGGTAAAGCAGAGCCTTTGGGCTTCCAGAATAAGGTGGGGGTTGGGAGCAGATAGGAGATGGGTAATATTAGGATATGTATTTTAGGCAGAGGCAGCAATGGGATGAAAGCAAAGGGGCTGTCTGGAGGGGCCACATGCTGACTTTTGTATATCTAGATTCCTGGCTTCCTGCACGCTGGGTAAAATGCTTGACCTAATGCTAAATGCACTGCACTCATGCTGAAATGGTGTGTGGTAGTTTCTAGCCTTGAAAAGCCTTTGTTTGTGTAGGTGGGTGATGTGTCTGTCTGATTTAGCCACCGTGGCCAGATGATTACCACCACTCCACTCCCCACAAAATGGGGACTTAGGAGGGTGGTTTTTGCTAAATGATCAGTTTGGCCTGGATTGTCTATCGAAGGAGGGCAGTGGGTATAGGCATTTGGGAGCTGACTCAGGAAGCAAGTAAGACTACTTTTGATCAGACCTCCAGGGATGGGAATCTGCTCTTCTAGTTGCTATAGGACACCAGCTTTCTAGAGGGGAAGTGGGCATGACAAAGACAGGCTAGAGCTAGAGTGAAGACTGGGGATGAGGTGGGCCAGGACATAGTAGGTGGGGAAGCCAGAGGGAGCCAGAGTGCTAGTCCAGAAGCAAGACTTGGCCTTCGAGCCCTTTCCCAGAGGAGGATGACGACTTCCTCAAATCACTCCTCAGTTAGTGGCAAAGTTGGGGCTGGAACCCAGATTCCCTGCCTCCCTCCTGGGTGATGTGACACTGCTGCTGCAGCCATGTGTTCACCTTACTGGGACAATGGGGACACAGAGCTGGTGTCAGCGCAGTTTCCAGGTCTTTTGGGCCAGCTCAGAGGAACAGGGAGGCTGAGAGGAGCAGCCAGTTGTAGCGCCTTGGAGATTGTAGGCTGATGGACTCTGTTTGTCCTCTCCTTTGCCAGGTACACCAAACCGCTCACCTTTGCTGACTGCATTAGTGATGAGTTGCCGCTAGGATGGGAAGAGGCGTATGACCCACAGGTTGGAGATTACTTCATAGACCACAACACCAGTAAGTTCCTGGCTGGCCTCCCTTCGTCGTCCCCTTATTCCATTCCCTCTACCTCCGCTCACCCCCAAGGCTGTAAGAGCTACCATCAGAGGCTCTTAAAGCCAGACTGTTTTGTTTTATATAGAGTTAGAGAGAGATGTCAATGTAGATATAGATATTGTATGCTCACACAAATAGCACTTAAGAAGGGTTTTAAATAAAATCTAAAAATCCCCTTCTCACAACTCCTCTCCCCAGTTTTACAGAGGCAAGCACTGCGAATAATTTCTTGTAAATCCTTCCAGAAGTTTCCCAGTCATAGGTGTTTATATGTGTATGTGCATATATTCTTTTTTTTTAAACATGTGCATACATATATTTTTCATATAAGGCAGATGTGTCATTTCCGACCATTTGGGGGCAGCCAGAGCCTCAGTGAGTCCCCTGCAGCGTGCACACATGTGTCCACAGTGGATTGATAATGAGCGTGTGCATGTCTAGCTCATCATACCAGTCAGCCTACCCTCACTTCCCATCTGTGATCCAAGTATCCTGATCCAGAATGAAGATTCCTAGTGTCTCCGTCTCTGGGACTATGGTAGAGAAACGGCTGGGGGAGGGAGAAGCATGTTGTCTGACAGGTGGAGGAGCCCGGGCCACAATCTCCTAGCCAGGGGGAGTTGATGTGTATTTGGGCCTCATCTCTTGTGTACCTTCTGGCCACAACTATTTCTGCCCTCTGAAATTTGCTACGCCATTTGCCCAGGTATACAGAGGAAAGAGGATTTTTCTGTCTCCCTATCAACCTTCTGAATGTAGGATTCCCTTTAGCCCTTCAGGCAAGAGGAGAAGGGAATGAAATGGGAGATGCTTGGCCAATCCTGAAGGCTGAGTACACAAGGCCCCAAATCCTAGTAGCCCCAGTTGACTGAACCTATACTGTGTGCCATGCGCTGGGCTAGGCGCCTGGTGGGCATCATCTCATTTGGTCCTCCCCACCACCTTGTGGGTGTTGAGATGATGATAGCCCCATCTCATCAATGGGACTTAGAGGTAGTAATTGACTGCCCAACGCTCAGAGCTACAACACGGCAGAGCTGAGAATTGAATTGGCACTGGGAACACAGTTATACTTCCCCATCCACTTCCTCCTTGGGGTTCCAGTAGCACCCAGCCACCCCTCTGCTGTGCCTCTCATCACTCTGTAGATAACCCTTTACCTCTTTGTCTAGAGCAGGAAAGTATCTAATTGATCTCTCTAGTTCCAGGCCTTTGCCCAGTAAGACACATAGTAGGTGTGTACTTGACCTTTGCTAAGTAGAAAAGGGCATATATACATGAATGCATGACTAAATGGATGAATGAGAAGACTGTTGTTGGCACCAAAGCGTGGAAGGATTTTTGAGAGACAGCTAATGGCGTGAATTGCATTGTTGGTGGTAGCAGAGGTTTTTATTAGCACTCGTGATTGCATACTGGATAATGAGAAGTAAATATGCCTAATTGAGTGTGTATGGGGAATGAGGTTAATGCTTGGAGGGCTGCATGGTATGCTGGGTTAAACACTGATGTGCAGGAACCCTAATCAGCCCTTTCCTGTTGCTAATTGCTGAGCGCATTCCCCTCATTAAAATCTGATGGAGGGAGTGGGATTTTAAGGTACTTCTGGGAGTTGTTGGAGAAACAGAGAGAAGGAAGGAGTAGCAGGCAGTGGCATTGTTTATCCTTGAGGGGGTGAGAGCAGAAAAGGGGTGTGGGGGGCTGTGAGGAAATGGGGTGCACAACAGAAGAACTCTGGTAGTTTTAGTGCCTATCAGGCCACTGGTTTACTTTTGGTTTGAAGGTGCTTTCATTGGGTGGAGGGTACCACCTCTGCAGACAGAGCCAGTGATAACAGCACAGAATGAATAGGACCCTCAAGGCCCAAGAATTCAGAGCTTTTGACTTGGACCAATCCTCTGTGTGTGTATTGTTCATTGAAATCATTCTCTTCAGAGTTATAGATACAGTAGATTGGAACAAGTTAAGGCCGCTATCTAGTATTCACTCATGCAACATTTATTGACCACCTGCTGTGTTCCGGGCATTGTTTTGAGAACTTTGGATACACAATAGTGCAAAATAGCAATGACCCTTGCCCTTATAGAACTTTCATTTTGGCAGAAGAGAAAGAAAATAAACAGAATAAATAAGGAGATTATGTAGTGTATTGGAAAATTATCAGTATTGTGAGAAAAAGAGGAAATAGAGTGGGGGGCTAAGGTGTGCTGGAGTGTGTTTAAGGGTGGTGGGAGAAGGATGGTGATAATGGTCTGTAGGAAGACCTTGTTGGGAACAGATTTGAGCTACAACCTGATGGAGGTGAGGGAACATTTCAAGTAGAGAGGGTTGATAGTGCAAAAACTCTAAGGTGTGATCACATTTAGCTTGCTCAAGGGGTGGCATAGAAGCAGGTGTGCACATAGCAGAGTGAGTAAGGAAACAGGGAGAAGGACATCGGGCCAGAGAGCAGCCGGGCATGGATGGAATGTGGTCTGCCTTACATGCTACAGCTTCTACTGCATGTGAGATGCGAGCCATTGGAGGGCTTCAAGCCGACAAGTGGCATGATCTGCTTTGTCTTAAAAGGGTCACTCTGGCTGCCTTGCTGAGAGTAGACCTTAAGGGAAGGACAGAAGCAAGGAGACTTGTGAGACACCATTGCAAAGTCCAGGTGGCAGAAAACAGTTCCCAGGCCAAGGCTGTAGCAGTGGAGGTGGTGGAAAGTGGCCAGATGATGGAATTATTTCCAAGGTAGAGCCAATGTTTCTGTTGGATTTCTAGTAGATTTCATAAGAAAGAGGAATGGGTGACCCTTGTTGGGCCTGAACAACCGGCATGATGAAGTTGCCATTGATTTAACAGTGAGAACTATAGGAGGACTGGGTTTAGGAAGGAAGAACAGGAGTCTGTCTACACACATCAAGTCTTCCATGTTACAAAACTGAGAGAAGTTATTTCAGATCAGTTTGATAGTGGAATCTGGAGTCTGAAAAAAGGCTGAAGATACGTATTTGGGAGTGGTTGGCATATAGATGGTATTTAAAGATGTGAAGCTGGATGAGATCACCAAAGGAATAGACAGAGAAGAGGACCAAGGAATGAGCCCTTGGGGTCCCAGACAGTAAGAGGATGCAGAGAAGAGGAAAACAAACAATTCTGAGGAGTGATCAGATGTGGGGGGAAAGCCAGGAGTGTCCCGGCAGCCACGTCAAGGAGGGCAGTCAGCCCTGAGAGAGGCTTCTGACAAATCGAAGAGGGCCGAGAAGTAACCAATAGATTCAGCACCCAAGCTGACACTGTGACCCTGACTTTGGACAAGGACTCGGGCAAAAGCATGACTACAGTGGTTCTAAAAGAAAACGGAGGGGAGGAATTAGAAACAGCAAATACAGACAACTCTTTCTAAAACAGAACCCATTTTCATTTTTTCATATGTCAGTATTCAGTATTCCCACTAATTACATCTGTCATGATTAGATGGTTTAAATCCATAATCAAATACGTGATTTGCTGTTTTCTTTTCATACTATATCATGAATATTTGAGAGATGCCATTTGTCATTTTTAAAACACCAAATAGATGTGTCAGTGCATTTGAATACATAAAATGAATGTACCGTAATACTCCTATTGCTGACCTTTTGATTTATTTCCCTTTATTTGTTATAAATTGGATCACTAGGGGGAGAATCTTTACCCATATTGCTTTTTCCTTTGTGATAATTTCCTGAAGTTGTATTTCCAAATATAGGATTACTGAGTGAAAGGTTATGAATGCTTTTGAGACTTCTGGTACATATTCCTAGATGGATAAGTATTTCTGGAAGATTGTATCAATCTGTATTACCACAGCAATAAGGTACTGTTTCTTCACACCTTGACCAGTATGGAGCTATTTTCATTTCTTTAATTTTTGACACATTCATCATAGGTTTAAACTGTTACTTTGTTATTTGTTTGTGTAGTAACAAGGTTGGATGTTCTCCAGATGTTCAGTTGTTTTCACACAATTGTTGTTAAAGTCCTTGATGAATACAGTAGTGTTCGCCATGTGGTGGTGGTGGGGGGGGGTGCCTGTAGAAAGCAGGTGTGTGGTATGCTGAGGAGGTGGGGTGTGGAATGTGTAAATTGCACCTGAGTATGGCGAAGATGTAGGCTTTTGGAGAATGTGTGTGCAGTCTGTAGGTGGAGGTTTGGAGCATGAGGGAGGATGGAGACGTGGCTCTCAGTGATGGCTGGGCTCAACTAAATATTTGTTGGAAGTCACTGTCTTTTGACGAGGGGGAAGGGGACGGAGGAAAGATGTTTTGTGTAGCCATGCGTAACATGCTGACAGCTCAAACTACGTTCATGTATACCTTTAATAAAACAAGAACTAACAAACAGTTGGTCGAGGCAACCTTAAGATCTTGCCCAGGTATAAAGTTAAGAGTTCTGGTGAGACAGACTAATGGAAAGACAGTGTCAGCAGGAGCTGGGCTCGGGAGATACCCCCTGGGTGACTGGTTCAGGATGAACAACAGCTAACACAGCTGCCTAGGGAGCTTTTAAAAAGCCCAGAGCCCTAAAGGAAGTCTTTTCAACACTTGCTGACACAACCACTAGTCACATGGAAAAAATACACCTCCACTTCTCCACCTCATACTATATGCAAAAATAAACTCAAAAAATAGATCATAGACCTAAACATGAAAGCTACAACTAGAAAATATCCAGAAGAAAATGTAGGATAAAATCAGCAAGGTTTTAGGGTCGGCAATTATTATTATTTTTTTTTTTTGGACAAGACACAAAAGCACTCACCCTAAAAGAAAATTAATAAATTGGGCTTCATCGAATTTAAACCACTGTTTCTCAGAAGACACCATTAAAAAGCTGAAAAGGCAAGCCACAGATATTTGCAGTACATATATCAGACAAAAGAGCAACATCAGGAATGTATAAAGAACTACAATCTAATAGTAAGAAGCACAACAAGC